AATAGCGCAATGGTACCTCAACCAACGACCGTTGTTTTTGTTTTTCCCACCCATGACCCTTTTGTTTTTAAATAGATAAAGAGACTATGGCGTATACTAATATTACCCCTTAATGTCAAAATTAACTCGAATTTTGAAAGAAACTATCTCAAAAAAACTGGAAACTCAGTTAGAAACGATGATAACTGGTTACTGTGCAAGTAGCACACACAGAATGTTCCGACCACAATCTTCAAAAAAAACAAAAATTCAAATTGGTGTCGTTTTTTTCTGCATGTAGTGACAAAGAAACTTAATAAAAAATATAACTTAGGCATAGTAAAATAAATCAATTCGAAAACAGTTCTTGAAAAAAAAATGACAGAACAAAAACGAGACAAAAATTTGAAAAAAAATGTCGTAATTTTTTTCAAAACTTTTGGGGTGCATTTTTTGAGTTTTCAAAATTTTGATTCCAAAAAATGCGCTAAAAAACTCCAAAAACTACCTTTACTTGGAAAAAAACTAAGTTTCCCCTGGTTAAATTAAGCCTAAATAAACTATTGCAATTACTAACTACGCTACTAGTTAGCCCGAAATTAGACCAAAAATAAAAAATTCAAACCGGTTTTTCTTGACACTGTGAATCATTCTACACTTGGACCATTCTGCTTTTTGCTCATCCTCCTATATCTTGGAGTCGAGTTCAGAAAATTTTATGTGGGTACAATTATTCATCTGACTTTTTTTAACTCAATCTGAGCACTTCAAGCTTTTTCAACAATTTGAATACTTTTTGCACAAAGTGATTGGAGTTGAATCTTGATAAAAACCGATAAATATTGCACTTCTTCTGTTATTTTGACTGTTTTATCTGGGGGCAGAGCAGTTAGCAGAATGCTCCAAGTGCAGAATGGGTCTAAGAGCAAAAAACTGAAAAAAAAACTTTTATTGGTTTATACGGGCTAATTGATAAAAACAATTATTAGAATTATTAAAACAGAAGAATTGCATTATTTATCTGTTTTATCAAGATTGAACTCCAATGACTTTGTGCAAAGAGTATTGTAATTATTGAAAAGGCTTGAAGAGCTCAGATTGAATTGAAACAAATTCAGATGAACAATTGTACCCAACTAAAATCTTCCGGGGTCGACTCCAAGATATAGCATCGGTATTTTCTTCTTTCGTTCAAAGATCAAATTACTATGCCAATCAATCAAATCGGATGAAGAAAAGTTTGAAAAATTAAGGAAAAATTTTTGCTTTAATGCTACCTGGTTTAATTTCACCGCTGAAATACACGCAAACACGTTTTCACATTTTCTGTAAAGGTAAACATTTTTTCCGTTGCTCTACTGCAAATACACTTAAGAAAATTACATGTTTTATATAGCTTTTTTTTCTAATAACTCTTTGCTTAACTTTTGGCCTTCTAAGGCAGTTTATTTTTTTAAAAAGGCCATAGCCCATGGATAATAGATCACCCCTAAGTCAGGACTACAATTTGGTAGAGTGGTAATGAAATAATGATAAATTCAAACTTATCTGAGCACTGATCTTTTGTGTGTGATAAAACTGGAGGTTTTAAACTGCTACATTTTTTTTTTCAGATTAAATCTTCACTAAAAAGTTTTGTAATATAATTCGTTTTTAGCTATGTTTGGATTCTCAGGTTTGCAATTAATTTATTTATGTTTTAGCGAACTGTTCCTTGTGTACTTATCCTTGCTCAGTTTTGTATTTTCCTTTCTCCAGTAAATACCTTGATTTTCAATGATTATATCGATGACGTGTTACAATGATTTATTGGCTGATTATTGTTCAGATTTTTTTTATTAAGTCCATCAGCGAAAAACTATTATTAATTACTCGCTTGAACACATTGAGCTCGTAAAATAATCAAAATTGCAGTTTTCATAGCTCCAGAAAATTAAAAAATAAACTGAAAACTTGAGATCTATTTAAGCTGTAAATTAGGACCCATTAAAAATTTCCAACATCTCAAAAACGTCTGTCATACGCATGAAATTTGCATGACTTTTGTAAGTGTTACATAATTGTAACCCCAGCCATTTTTTAGAAGTACTTGATTTCGGCTGGTTTTTATGGTTTATATTTGTGTTAGGTTAGGTATTCCACCAAAAAAGTACGAAAAAAGTGCTCCTCGCAGACGAAAAAAGAGCTCTTCCCATAAAATGCATTTCAGGAATTTTTCGTTTCAGGGCTCAGTGGGAAGTTGAGGCTGAAATTTAAAGAGAGGTTCGAGACTGAAGATGACGATGACTACATCTCGGGCCCATTTGAGAAAGACAAGATGTACTTGTATGAGGTAAGTTCAACATATTTTGAAACATATTGAACGAATTCAGTTTAATTAGTCACTACCAGGGTTAGAAAGAAAGCTAGTCGAACAATTTCAAGTTTGTAAAAATAGCATCTCACGCGTTCAGAAAAATGTCTGATAACTTTACGCCGTCTTTGTTGCAGAGTGAAACTAAGTGATTAGCATTTTTCGTTATGCGAAATTGTGTAACTAGCGTTTTCTCCGTACGAGGAAGTTTTAAAAAATGAGTTTCGTTGTAAGTTTTTGTATAAACAACATGTAAGTTTAGTCCTAAGATTAAGTTTAGTAATAAAAAAATAACCCAAAATTTTTGCACAAAACATAACCAAAATGTTAGAATATGACAGATCAATTACATTTGGAGACTCACTATGTAAATTCATAATGTGTTTTCACATATTACTATACAAAAATTACAATTTGTTTGTGTACGGCTAAAAAAGTTTTTTTTTTGAAAATTTGCTGTTTGTAAATCGCAGCCTGTTTTTTCGAGAGACCTTAAAATTATCTTAGTATGTATACGAAAAAATTCTGACTTTACCTAAAACAAGCAATATGATTTCTGTTTCTATTGTGCGAAAAGACTGGACTACGTTATAAACGAAAAAATCTCTGCAAAAGTTGTTGAAAAAAGAAATTCGAAATTTATTTGCTTGAGTCTAGAAATATTTTTGCAACTAAAAAAAAACAAAACTAAAAAAATTTCCCCGAATCTTGGCTTTTGTATTAAAAAATGCTACTCACGCATAGTATGAAAATGTCTGACTAGCAAATTTAACGAAAAACTGTGTCATCAATATTTTGATCTTTAGAGTCTTCAAAATTAATTTTATTAGCATTACGTTTAGGGTATCAATTTTGAACATCTTCAGCTTAAGTTTAAAATATTTTGATAATGTAGAAAAAAACGCAGCAATTTTTGAACAAAAAAGCTGATCAAAAAAATTTCAGAGTATGAAAATTGTGTGATCTTCGTTTTTTTATAAATTTTCTTTGTGAAATTATATAACCAGCTGAAATAATACTTAGTGAAAAATTTCTACCTATAAAAAGATCTAAGATAACCGTTAAACATTCTTGATATTTATACTTTTATCGAAAATTCCCCCTTTTGGAATAGGACGAAAGAGTTAAAAAGATCCATATACCTGAGTAGACCTCTGCACTTGGAAAGTATGTAGAGGTCAAATTGGTTACATGGATCTTGTTAACTATTCCAATCAATTCCAAAAGGATCAAATTTTGTTGAAAGTATAAATATCACAAAAATTTAATCATATTTTTAGATCTTTATAGGGTTGAAAATCCTCCACTAGCTACCATAGGGGTTAGTTAAAAAAACCAATTAATAATTGTTCTATTTATAAACTTTTGAGGGCTTGAAAGTTGATGACTAATGGACTCTTAATTTTGGCTTTTTTGGGTCAAAACATCAAAAAACTCTACTGTGCAAACTTTTCAGTGCACTGCTAACCATGAGTTTATATATTTTTTTACTGAAGCAGATATTTTAAAAGTTAAAAGCAAACCCGTATTGGAATTCCATTGATCAAATCCAATTGTATTTGAGTTTAAAAGTCAGTGTCATCAAAAGTGAAAAATAATCGTTTCAACTAATGAAAACAGAATTGTTCAATCAAGCATTATAATTCATTGCAAATCAATTATAATAGATTAACTTTTCACTTTTATAGATGAAGACAATGAAACTCTACTATAGTTAGCTCTATTATTTCAACTTATTTCAGATGCGAATTTCAACGCCCATAAAGTGTTTTCTACGTTTTAAACTAAAGTTGGACTAAAGCTGGTTGCTTGCTGATCAAGTTCAACTCTTTTTTCTGCGCAACTCTTTTTGTACAGTTTTCATGTTACGGTGGTGCGGTGTTTTTTTTTGAAGTGAGGGGGAGGTCAAGGGGGCAATTATAGGGTTGAAGGATTGTAAGAGGGCAAAGGCGCAAACGTTAGGAGCGAGAGAATTTATCGCATTCGTTTTCCAATTTGAGAAAATTTAGATTTAGAAATCGCATTATTAGAGTAGTGAAATTATCGCATTATTTTTTTGAGAAAGCAATTTTTTAGCAAATTTTTGCAATACGCGAATACAAAAAATTGATTCACTGAAAGCAATGAATTATAATCAATTTTGTATTCTTTTTTGTTCTCTAGGATAATATGTGAATCGATTATATTGATAATATTTCAGCTATACATTGAACAGAATTGACTTCAAAAATTAAGTCAGAATATGTCATAAAAGTGTCAAAACAAAACTTAGTTTTGAAAAGAGAAAAACTGTAGGTGGTAATGGTGTTTTTCTTACTATTTATATTTTTTTGATCGATGACAGATTCAATAATTTAAGATAACCTCAGCTTAAAAGGATCCCAATGATCATTTCAAAAAGCAACTTTTGATTATTACAGGGCTTCCCAGACCAGAAGAGTCTGTTCCGGAACTCGATCCGTAGTCTGGTGGCAGAATACATTCTGGAGAACATGGACGCCAGAAGTGAAGAGGAGATCACTGAGGAAGAAAAGTTGGTAGAATTTTTTTTGAGGGTGGGGGGGGGGGGTGGTTGGGTTGCTTCATTTTATTTTTTTGGGAGATGTTCATCTTAGCGTTTTCTCTGATGAAAAAAATTTCTTAAAAAACTGATGAGATATCAATTTCTGCATCTTATAAAAATTATTCTCAGATATTTTTACGACAGACATTTCGTTGATTTTATAATTTTCCAAATTATTAGCATAATTACTTTATTTGGCAGTTAGAATGCCTTAATGATTTCAAATATAAAATCCGTTAAGTTTGTAATTTTTTTTTGAAAACCGAAAAGCCAAAATCAATTTGTATTTTGTAAAGTTCAGGTTTTTGAAAAAAAAAATGTTTAAGTGGTTCCTCGCACTTTAAATTTGTAGTTTATTCAGGTTTTTGAATTAATAGATTTCATTTTGTGTTCCTATTAGGCTGAAAAAGTGGAACTTGAGTTGGTTTATTCACGAAGGCATAATCGATGACTCATTCATCCTTCATGATGAGTCATCGGAAGACCCGTTCGAACTCAGGAATGAGTCATACTTGAATGAGCGGATAAAGGAGTTGAAGTGGAGGAAGCTACAGGGAACTACTAAGGATAAGAAACAGAGCACGAGAGGTCAAACAGGGTCAAGCAGGTAAAAATTCACTTTAGTTGTAAGCAGATTTTTTGGACTGTTTTGTTAACACTTGAAAACAAAAATCGAATCAGCTAAGAAATGTTTAGAAAGGTTTCAAAAAAATTTTAAAAAATTTTTGAGAAAAAATCGTAATTGAAAGAGCAATCGTTTTTGGATAAAACTTTTTTAAAAAGGGTTGAAACATCATATTCTGTCTAGAATCTCAAACAGACGCCAGATCAATAGATATTATCGAAACAGTTTGGTTTCTTAAAAATAACGTCAATCAATGCAAAATTCCTCATATTTTTGAGAAAAAAAGAATAATAGATCTATTCGTAGATGTTTTATGGGGAGGGGTTGAACTTAGAAAGCAGGCTGAAAGTTCGGATAGATTCAGCATCTTCGCATTTAAAATTTCACTTAGAAAGCGGTAGATTTGTACCAAATCTGTTATATCAGGAATTTTAGAAACTGATTTCAGGCTGGATATTTGGAAAAAACTGGAGACACGGGAAACAATGGCATTTTACCGAAATCTTATAATCCCAGTAAGAAACCATTGTTTTCAGGTATGGTAAGCTTCTTCAGGACAGATTTTTTAGGGACAGAGTCTAAAAAATTATGGCATTTCTAATAAAAAATATGGTATAAACTTATGCTTCATAAAACTTGAACCTTACTGACATCAGCTGATTCTAGATTTAATTTACTCATCGAGATATGTTAATGATTTATCTAGTTTTACTGGATTTGATTTAACGTTAGAATTAAAAATTTTCCGGCTAAAAAGTCTAGGTTTAAAAAATGCGTGACCTGATATTTGATAAGAAATTTAAAAATTTTCGGAAAATCCATGCTTTATTTTCAAATTTTTGGAAAGAATTTCTGACCAGAATTCCAGACTGGAAAATAAGTTGTTTCTTGTCGGAAATCTTAGGTACATGTAACAGCGAAACCCAAGTCGAACAAAACAACGAATGAAAGCGAACAGCCAAACATTATATATGGACGCATAGAATGTTCGGGCCACAGTAGCAATTGAAACTTTAAAATCTTTCAAATCATGAAATTTAGTTGCTTAAATAATTTTATAGGAATAACTAACACTTATTTTTTGATATTTTGCAGTGTTCTGTGAAAATTAGCATGTCTGCTTACAACTTCTGGGATAAATTTTTATCTTCCTTTGTTTTTAGTTGCATCACAAAAATTAATTGTTAAAGAGCGAGCCGAAGCATTTATTACTCATTTCTCTAAAATACACTTAAAAACTTTATAACTGTTGCTTGCGTCATTATTAAGATTTTGGAAAGTTTTCAAATGCAGAACAAATTACTTGTGAAAGCGCTTAAAAAACCCTACTGGCCAAACAGAGTTTTTTTGTGAAGTATAAGCATTTTTTCGCAAAAAAACGCTATCTCTTAACTCTTTTTGATCTAGTGTTAACTTTAATCGTGCCGAAAAAAAATCAGCATAGTTAAAGACTTATCTAAAAAAACTATTTTGAAATATAAGATCGCTACTGTTTCAGATTATAACATATCCACTGTACAACAACATACCACTTTGCTTACTTTGCTTTACCTAAGCAGGAAAAAAAACTTTTCAAATTTTCCGCCTTATCTGATTTAATCCGTTGAAATGGTCAATGAATCAAGGGTAAAGAGTTTTAAAATGTTTTGGAGTACTGCGAAGAAGGGTACGACCTTAGATAAAATTTAATTGAGTTATTGCTACTTCTGTCCATTAACTCGAAAGGTCTGCCCGCATCCAAGCTTAGGCTCATGCAATTGACTAAAACATACTGTAAGGCTGATTTTTTTTCTCTTATAATCTATTATAATTAGTCTTACTTCATACATTGATTTAAACTCATAAAATTGAGTTTAAAGACTTCATTCAAAATAGAGGTCTCATTTTATTTCATCTTAACACAAAAATTTATCAGGAAACAAACTTTTACAGAGATCTTTTCATATGAGTTGAAGGAGGGTTCCCGCGGTTGAGGAAAGTTAGCACTTTCCCATAAGTCATGAAACTAAAAAAACGTGCTGATTATTTGTTGGTTCGCATCATAAAATAACTCTATTCCAGAGAAAATGAAAACATAAAAAAAAATTGAACTGCAAAAAAAAACATTTTCCCTTTTTTAAAAAAGCAACATCTATAAAAAGCACAAAAACAAGCAAATTACATTCAAATTTGCATACAAAAAGGACAAACAAAATGGATTCTAATTGATTATAACCGTTTATATTAGATCAAAATGCATTTTTTGTGTACACGAAAATGGGTTAATAAGATTATACTTATATAGAATAGATTACAAATGAATCGAAAAACAGAAGAATATTAAACCAATTATTTCTGATTAGAAAGTATTAAAACTGATTCTAATTTAATTTCAAAAGAGAAACTGTAATCAATTATCAATTGATTATTACCGATTTTTTCTCAATTTTAAAAACACTTGTTCAAAAATTAAAATATATAACGCTAGATACTGGATGCGAAATAAGTTGTTTGAACCTATACAAAGTTTCGTCTTTTTTCAATCATGTTTTCAGATTAGTTTTTCTTTTCAGAAGGAGATCTGCTTCGAGTGTTTTCTTAAATAAATGCAATTTTTACAATTGACTCTTGTTTTTAAACCGGTCTTAAACATTGAATTAGTGATGCAGTCAGAGAATCGTCAGTCGCAATCGAGTAATATCTTTTAAAATTTTGTTTTTTGTTCAAAAAATGTTCTCATGTTGAAAACTAGTTGAAAATAAGTAGCTTCACTCAATTGTCAATTCGTCAAAACTTCTGGACTTTTTAAAAATTTGGCTTCTTCTTGGCAAGCTGATATCTTTTTGCGCCCAGATTGCTTTTGTTGGATAAAATTGATTTTATATATGTTGAAGTATTAGCAAAAAAATTTGGAAGAATCGTTTAAAATGCGTTAGAACATTTTTTTTGTTTCTGGTGAGAAACACTTCCCTTCCAAAATAAATAACCTGCCATAAACATTTTTTGAAATGTTTAAGTAAAGCAGCGATTTTCTTGAAAATCTTAATTTGTACTAGAATTCTGGTCAAAATTTAGTTAAATTTGACTATTTCTATAAAAAAGGTATGTTTATTTCAATTTAAAATGTTTTTCAGCCCCGCTTAAAAAATTAAAAAATCAATCCGAATCGACTTTTTATCGGCTTAAACCTCTTTTTCCGTCTTATTTTTTTGTTTTTAGGGAGATTATAAATAGTCGATTCCTTTCATTCAAATTTTATCAGTTTCAATTTTGTGTTGCATTCAATTGATGCCCATTATTTATTATTTTACATCCATAGCGTATTGCAGCATATAAAAAAATTAATATTTTCATAGATATTGATAAAAATTTATGATTTTCTTGCATACTTTGAGCTCAAAATTTGATCTATTTTGGCCATATTCGATTTACGATGATGATTGTTGACAAGTTCATTTCGTGTTTTTGAGCTTAAATCTGATTTTTGTGGAACATTTTCTTGAATTCGCTATAACATCTAGCACGTGTGTTCTATTTAAAAAATTGAGAAAAAAAAGCAAAAAAAAATGATTTATATTGGGTTGAAATGGAAATTTTCGACAGTTAAATTGATATGCTCATGGGTCTTCCAAAATGGATTGAAATGGATATTAGTAAGATTCGGATAGCTGTAGGTGAGATTTGGATGGATTTTAGTGAGTCGGAAAATCCATCTAAATCGAGTTAAATCAATTTTTAGTTACTTGAATTGATCGAAAACTTTCAAAAAAATCAATTTAAATTTTAAAATCCGTTTCAGTTCTTGAAATGTACATTGTTAGTCGGATCGATCCGAAACCATTTTTGTCAGTGCGGCAGATTACAGATAATGTTTATCTTGAAAGATGCGTTCAAAAGTTTGTTCAACTTGCAAATCTTACACGAATCTTCCACAGTTCTGAAAGAATCATGCTTAAACTTGTAAATCCCTTCTAAATCCCTTCTCTTTCCTCTGGCCCATTTCTATTTTTTCCATGGAGGGAGGAAAAAAACACAATTCTCAGAAAATTGGGTTCAATTAATACTCGGTATTTTATCTTTATGGAGCTGAGTGAGCTCAACGTTTCAGAACTGGGCTAAATGGCTAACTGGCTTTTTTGGTCCCCGATTTGCCTTGGAAGAAAAAGATGAATAAATTCAAATTAATAAAACTTGGCTTCTAATTGGGCTTCATTGGGTTAAATTTTTCCGTGACAGCTCAAGGACTAATTGAACTAAGAAGTGGGCTCATGCGCAGGGGCGAACCTAGGTTTTTCTCAAGGAGGGGGGAGGAATTTCATAAAATTTTCGAAAATTTGTCGACATATTTTTTGGTCGGCCAAAATGATGTTTCGGGATTTCCCATAATACTAAAAAGACACGATTTTGACCAAACTTTGCTCATTCGTCTTCTGAAAATTGAACATAACGCCAAAAATTTCGAAACCAGTTCTATTTTCAGAAATGGCAACGACTCATCCGCGCCAATCGATCTCTCCTCCGATTCTGACTCAGAACAGGCCAATGGGAAGGCAGCTTCAGGCAGTCAAACAACTCAGCAGAAGAAAGACGACAAGTTCTATTATGACGCAAGGAAGGACCTTCACTTCAGGTTAGTGTCCTAGTCCTATCAAATCCTAGTCCTATCAAATCCTTAGTCCTATCAAATCCTAGTCCTATCAAATCCTAGTCCTATCAAATCCTAGTCCTATCAAGAATCAATTGACAGCCCTCTTCCCCTACCCTTTTTAAGAATTTTTTATTTCAAGAGCATTTTTCAATAAATTTAAAAAAAAACTTAAGGTTTGTAGAAAAAAATTTATATTGTTTGAAGCCATTTTTTAAATATATCCAGTTTTTTAAGGCAAATTAAATTAGTTTGAATGTTTTCAAACTTTGCATAATCGGGTACAAAACAATCACCAAAAAGTTTAAAAAGCGATTTCAATTTTGTTTACTTTCTACAGAATAGTGACAAAAAGGAGCTTCATGAACTCTCAGTAAGTTTTCATTGCTCATTTGGTGCAGCTTTGGCAAGAAATTTGCATCTATCTTCGGAAAAGTTCCTTTTCTCATGACCTTGAAAGCAGCATGTTCGTTTTAAAAAATTTTGCGCTAGCTATTCTTTTATTTTTTTGTTTCATGAGTTATTTTTTGTTTCATTTTATGAATAAATTTAGTTCTTTTAACTTTAAGTGACAGTGAAAAAAGCTGCATGTTCCTCACGCAGAATCATCTATCAAAAATAAATGACCGATGTGGTTGGTTAAGGTGAATTACGTCTCAAATGGCATAATTCCCGAATAGCATAAAAATGAAAAATTCCCAAATGGCTTAAATTTCATGCAACAGTTGTATTTAAAAAATCGAGGACAAATTTTTCGTGAACAATGTGAGAAAATTGGTCAAGTTGTCACTTCAAATGTTGACTGACATTTTATCTTAAATAAATAGAAGTTTTCATCAAAAGCGAAAAGCATTAGATTTCGGTTATTGATAAGCTTCTTGTGGTCAATTTTTCCATTTGGGAAAAGTTTCATTATGCCATTTCGGAAAAGTTTCATTATTATGTCTTTTGGTAATTATTCCATTTGGGAAGTCACGGTTAAGGTGTTTTATGAATAATCCGTTTCCAACGTGCTGTTCAGATCTGCGATATTTTTATATCTACAAAAACTTATACTGAAACACTTTCGTGGTGTGAATACGACCAGATGGGCTTCAAATCTCATCTAGTCGTAATTTTTTCAAGTCTTTAACATAAATATTATACGAATACGGGTTTTTAAACTAAGAAAATTGACAACCGTAAGAAAATTGACAAGAAAGGGTTTTATTTTTTCTAGTTTTTCTTTAATATTCAAACTCATCTTTTCATATAGAAACTCATTTTTAATTTCCAAATTTGTTCTTAATTGTCTGAAAAATATTTTTTTTGAATTTTTTAAGTTTTATCTCTCTGTTTAGGAGTTCATTTTTCAATTTCCAGATTCAGTTATATTCTTCTAATTTCTGAGCGATGTGTTTTGGTTTTCTCTCTAAATTTTCTCTAATTAGAAGCTCTAGAGTTTCCTTTTTCACCTGCAAAGTTCAGTTATTATGTCTTCCTATTTCAGATGGGTCACCCCCAAGATGAAACTCCTCCCCCTGTTCCGTATCCGGAACTACTTTGGGGAGAAGATCGCCCTCTACTTCGCCTGGACTGAGACTATGATTCTCTCCCTGTGGATTCCGGCTATTCTGGGAATCATTGTGTTCATTTACGGAATGGTTCGCTCCATCGAAAAGTAAATCTTCTAAAACAAATATGATAAAATAGAAGAAGAAAGAATTAAACGATAAACATGAAAAAAACCTGAAAAAAAAGCCATAAGAAAAATACATTTAACATTTTAACACAAAAATTTGCAGAAATTTGTTTCACGGAATGGTTCGCTCGGTCGAAAAGTAAATCTTCTAAAACAAATATGATAAAATAGAAGAACAAAAAATTAAACGATAAACATTTAAAAAAACCTGAAAAAAATGCCATGAGAAAAATACATTTAACATTTTAACACAAAAATTTGCTTAAATTTGTTTCACGGAATGGTTCGCTCGGTCGAAAAGTAAATCTTCTAAAACAAATATGATAAAATAATAGAACAAAAAATTAAACGATAAACATGAAAAAACCTGAAAAAAATGCCATGAGAAAAGTACAGTTAACATTCTAACACAAAAAGTTGCAGAAATTTGTTTCACGAACTGGTTCGCTCTTTCAAAAAGCAAATTTTCTAAAACAAATATGATAAATAGAATAACAAAAAATTAAACGATAAACATGAAAAAAACCTGAAAAAAAAGCCATAAGAAAAATACATTTAACATTTTAACACAAAAATTTGCAGAAATTTGTTTCACGGAATGGTTCGCTCGGTCGAAAAGTAAATCTTCTAAAACAAATATGATAAAATAGAAGAACAAAAAATTAAACGATAAACATTTAAAAAAACCTGAAAAAAATGCCATGAGAAAAATACATTTAACATTTTAACACAAAAATTTGCAGAAATTTGTTTCACGGAATGGTTCGCTCGGTCGAAAAGTAAATCTTCTAAAACAAATATGATAAAATAGAAGAACAAAAAATTAAACGATAAACATTTAAAAAAACCTGAAAAAAATGCCATGAGAAAAATACATTTAACATTTTAACACAAAAATTTGCAGAAATTTGTTTCACGGAATGGTTCGCTCGGTCGAAAAGTAAATCTTCTAAAACAAATATGATAGGCCCCCCGAAATTCTTTCTTTCTTTGCACCGGAAAACGTAATAAGTGGTTCGTCATCGGAGTCTACTGCACTAATGGTCTCCGTACCGAGTGTCACTTGGTCGATGAACCGTCTCTCGCCAAAGAATTTCGGGGGGCCTGGGTTTCTTCTTACACGATGTTTTGAAGATATCGGGGTTTTTGGTGTCTCCACTGTCTTCTCCGGAGAGCTATCCACTCGAATTGGGTCGTCGCTTGTGCCCGTTGGTATATTGAATGTTGTCTCAGTGTTTGTCTGGCTTTGTATGGTACTCCTTGGTTGATCTAAATCACTATGCAGGTTAACAGTTGGTGTATTATATACAATTTCCGTTTCCGTACCCAAGTAGTCGTCAATGACTTTATCCCAAAGGTCTAACGTTAACGACGAATCTAGATTATTATAATCGAATTTTGAACCTTTCGAGGTCGTGAAGAATGATCTCCTCTTTTTGCTTGAATTTCCACCCGTTGGTGTGAGGTTCATCGAAGGGCCTCCTATATTTGAGTCTCGTCTCTTGCAAGGGGAGTTTCTTTTTCGCTTGCCTGCTAAATCATTACTATTAATTAGCGGTTTCGGTCTTGCCGTGAAGGTCTTAGGAGCTGCCGGTTGGGTTTTGTTAAAAGCTAAGTCCGATTTTCTTATCACATTTCCGTTATCTAATGTGACCGTATGTTTCGTGTCTGACAAAGGTTTACTCCCTAAAGGTTTAAAATAAGGTTCTCCTTCCCTCCTGTTAACTGTTTTCCTAAACCAGTTACCTCCATGGCTGAAGGGATTCGACAGTGGGGCTCGCTGAAGATTTCTATCTACTTTGTCAGCGGGGTCGCTCTCATAGCCTCTTTCCTCAATTGTTCTGTCTTCCAGGTAGCCATCTTCGAACGCATCATCAGCCCCCCAGTCTTGTGCTCTGTCCTTCGATATGATTGATTTCCCCTTATCTAAACTAATTGCGTGAGAGACCAAAGATTTCCAGAACGTATTGGGAGATCTATTAAAATGTTTTGAGAACGGAGAGCATCCAATGGATGATTGTTTCGTCGAGCGTATGTTCCAAATAATTTTATCAATAGCCGTATTTAAGGATGGTTTTGGATCGTTGAACGACATTGCCAGAAGCTTGGCTTTGACCGTGTAAATGAGTCTTTCTACTACTCCATTGGATCTATGATCGCCAACCGTACATAGAATTAGATTAATGTTGTTCTTCTCACAGAAGTTTCTAAAATCAAACGAAGTAAAACATGGCCCTTGGTCGGCTCTAATGGACTTTGGAAATCCGTGAAGATGGCAGTAATCTGTCATGAAGGTTAAAATTGAAGAAGTCGAAGTGTTGTTTACTACCTTCGCCGACGGAAACTTTGAAAAGCGGTCAATGCATAACAAGAGATATTTTGCGTTACCCCAGCTCTTGTCCAATGGGCCGGCAAAGTCTAAATCTACTTCTTCATTTGGTTCGGTCAGGTTCGGTAATTTCTCAGTCTTGTTCGTCCCTAGTAAAACTTTTAGGTTCTTACCGGCCATTATGCGCTGAGTGCAATTCTTTCCATGGTGGTATATCTCTCTGTATAGATGTGGCCACCAAATGTTTTCTGCCAAGGCTTTCATCCCAAACTGCCCTGGATGAGTCTCTAGAAGGAGTGACAGAAAAGGTGATCGTAATGCAGCCGGCACTATCAGTTTGTTATCGTTGAATAACAGCCCTTCTTTCACATGTATATCCCTCTGGAAGTTCTTTAAATAGGCTCCGAATTTGTCCAATGGTTTGCCTTCGTGTACCGCCTTCTTTACTTCTTTGAGGATTTTGTCTTCGTCCGTCATGAGTTTAATCAGCTTATTCGAACAATGGTCTGATAGTGATAACGGGTTGTCTGGCAATCTGAGATCTCCCTTGTATTTGACCAACAGTTTTTTGTGTATGTCTGACATTATGTCGTTATTAAAATTCAAGAAGATTCCTTTCTTTTCTGCCCTGAGGGAAATTTTTAACACGTTGACTGATGTAATAAATTCTTGTAATTGTTTTTCTTGATCTGAATTTAATGACTGATTGAATAATAATACTGATTGGGCAAGAAAAAATAAAAAAGTTTTGTCTGATAGGTAAAAATAATTGAAATCAAATTTTGATAAGTTTAAAGGAACACAACCGCTTGTGCAAGACTCTGAACGCGAGTGATTGGAATTACAAATTCTGATAGTGTCGTTTACCTTATTCAGAATATTCGAGAAGAACGACCGTTGGATGCTTTGTGATAAATCTTTCTTTCCACCCATTGGATTATTACAATCCAAGTTACTAATCGTATTTACATCCAATGGATAATACACTTCGTTCTTTTTACAATTATTCTTTTTACAATCGTTATTTACAGAGAGGTTTTCTTTAATCTTTTGTACTGTTGCCACTACAAATTCGCTATCGTAGTGTGATGTAGGGAGTGCTTTACCTGAAGGTAGTCTCGACAGTAAATCTGTAAATCCCATTTCTTTTCCCGGAATGTGCTTGATCTTAAAATGAAATGGTAACAGTCGATTTACCCAACGGGTTAATCTGCTATGCATAGTTTTGTTGCTCTGGTTTGCATTTAATGCTGATAATAATGCCTTATGGTCCGTCACAATTTCAAATTCGGCACCATACAAGTAATTTTTAAAATGTTCTGTAGCCCAGACTACTCCCAACAATTCAAGTGTAGAATTGTACAATTCATTTGTAGAATATTTACTTTCGTGGTTGTTCAAAAATCGGGAGGCGAATGCTATTGTTACCCAATTTTCTCCATCCCATTGTTCTAGGGTAGCTCCTAAGCCGTTATGGGAAGCGTCTGTTTTTAGTCTTGACATCCTTTTTATGTCGAAGTGGTTGTTCTCTGTTATCTTCACTATCTGTTGTTTTAATTCTTCAAATGCTTTAGTATGTTCGTCATTCCATTGGTAGACTGATTTCTTTACAAGAAGTGGTCGTAGGGGGGAACTTAGGGCGGACAAATTCGGGACGAATTTCATATATTGATTGATCGATCCAAAGAAAGACCTAAGTTCAGATATGTTTTTGGGGTTTGGTAGGTTTTTAATCGAATCTGACTTTCCCACCAATGGTTTCACGCCCGATTTTGATATCTTGAAACCTAGCCACTCTATTTCTTTTTGGAAGAATGCACATTTCTCCCATTTTACCGCCATGTTCTTGTTGTCCAAAATGTTTAAAATGTTCGTTAGTATCGCTTTGTGTTCATTTAATGAACCTTTCGAAGCTATTAAAATGTCGTCGATATAACAATTTGTAAAAGGAATGTTTTTCAGTAAAGAATCCATTACCCTCTGGAATTCGTTTGGCATATCGCCCAATCCGTAAAATCCAGTTAAAGTTACACTGTTTGCTAGTGTCTGTGCATAATTGTAGTTGGCTGTATGCGTTTTTTAGATCTAGATTACTAAACCAAACTTCCCCTGAATCTTTGCTTGACAGTTGAAGAGCAATATTATCGATCAGTTCATGTATGTTTGGCATCTGGTACTTGTTCTTGAATATCTGATTATTTAATAGTTTCGAATCTAGTGCCAACTTGATACTACCGTCTTTTTTTCTTGTAATCACAATTGGGCTTATAAAACAATCTTCGTCGCATTTGTTCAACTTTATGATATGCCCCTCTTTTTCCATTCTATTTAGTTCCGTTTTTACATTATCGAGTAGATGTAAGGGAACTCTTCTACCTTTGGTTTGGATAGGTTTGAATGGGGAATGGAAATGAGTAACTTTTCTGTCCGAAGGTATTTTTCCCACTCTGTTAAATAGCCCTTTGTACCTATGATACAGATTAAGGGTCGTATCTGAATAATTATTTAACTTACACAACTCTGGGCGTGATATGTTGTTGACGGGTAGTAGAGGCTGTCGTTGGGCTATCTCTATTCCAATTCTCGGGAGATTGTCGTTACCCAGAATGTTCCTCTCATGTCCAGAAGTGATAAAAAATGGAGTTTCGTCCGCGGTCCATCCATTGGATTTTAACCTCACTACCACCTTCCCGATGATGTTGATTGTGTCATTAGTGAATCTGCAGTATAGTTCCCTCGTTTTCTTCTCAACTGGCTGAATCTTCAACTGTGGATTTCTCAGCTTCAATTCGTGAAGTACATTTTGTTTCAGGAAGCTCACTGGGCTTGCCGAATCCACTGGAATGTTCAGGTTGACTATCGCGTCGTCTCCTAAACCGATGTTGACAAGTTTCTTGGTTTCCAAGCCATTGGTATCGTAGATTGTTCTAATGTTGAGAACTGAATAGTCATCGTTATCACTTATCCCCTCTTCGGTCCAAGCGTTAATCACTCCACAAAAATTTTCTTCGCTTCTCATCTGAAGATCTTCTGGGGAATATGAACAATTCTGACTATTTACAGCTTCATCTACAGTATTTACAGCGGGTTTTCTTCCTTTCGATTTACAAAGTCTTCCAAAATGTACTTTATATTTACAAATATTACACACGATTTCTTTCGCCGGACACACATTCAGATGACCCTTGGTAAACGCATTCCCGCATTTCATACAAGTATTTGATCTTTCTATGTTTAAGCTTGGTTCCTTTTTAACGTTGTTGAAGTTTTTGTACCCTCTCCCACTATTTCCTGTCGTGTTGAAAGATCTAGTCATGTTGGTCAGTTTGAGGTGGTTATAGTAGCCTTTTTCGTCAATTATTGCTTGGTTTAGTGCATCCAATGGATTGAGGGTTTCTGAAAGTAGTCTACGTTGTAAGTCGCAGTTTTTCATGTTAAAAATAAATACGTCTCTAATCCACTCCTGTTCTGCATTAATTCCAATTTCACATGATCTCGCCAAATCTGATAACGCGCCCCAAAATTGTTCATAGGATTCTCTATCCTTTTGTTTCCTGCTCAATAGTTTGTATCGTTCAAATGTTATGTTGGTTGGTTTGATAAAAGCCAATTCTAGCATTTCGTAAAATTCCTTGAATGAGATTCCTAGGATTTTTACCCTTGGATGTTTCTGGGCGAAAACTCTTTTGCCTTCCGCTCCTAAGGCCAAGTATAGAATTGACCTTACTTTTTTGTCGGCCTCGTATCTCCTCATTCCTCCGAATTTCCTCTTTTCTTCTGCTAGTCTTTTCTCTTCAGCGTGTTCATAGACTCGCATTGTTTCTTTGTTCCTGGCCTCCCTGGCTTTCCTCTGTTGGTCAGTTTCTGACTCCTGGGCACCTTCTAGGATCGGTAACGTCGTCTCCCCTTCCATTGGTTCTTTAAGGTTGTCTAAGTCTAGATTTTCCTTCGCGATAATGGCCAAATGGAATTGGTCTATCCAATTGTTCCATTGGGTGGGGGGTTCAACCGTGTGGTTCGGCCAAAAGGCGGGTATTCCCCTCAAGTTCGAATCAGTTGTTGACTGCGCCATAATAAAAAGTTAAGATGTACCACTGGTAACTATTATATCTAACTAAGTTAAAAAGAGAATAAAAGTAATGGTTGAATTAAAACCGACTGTAGTCTAAAAAGAGCAACTAGTGACTCGAAGTCCACTGGACTTCGTAGAGTTAACATTGACTGGTACGTAATTAGGTAATAGAGGTCAAGGTTATAACATACTAAAAATACTGAATCACAACAAACATTTTAACACAAAAGTTTGCAGAAATTTGTTTCACGGAATGGTTCCCTCGGTCGAAAAGTAAATCTTCTAAGACAAATATGATAAAATAGAAGAACAAAAAATTAAACGATAAACATGAAAAAAAAACCTGAAAAAAATGCCATGAAAAAAATACATTTAACATTTTAACACAAAAACTTGCAGAAATTTGTTTCACGGAATGGCTCGCTCGGTCGAAAAGTAAATCTTCTAAAACAAATAGGATAAAATAGAAGAACAAAAAATTAAACGATAAGCATGAAAAAAACCTGAAAAAAATGCCATGAGAAAAATACAGTTAACATTTTAACACAAAAATTTGCAGAAATTTGTTTCACGGAATGGTTCGCTCGGTCGAAAAGTAAATCTTCTAAAACAAAACTTGAAAAAATAGTAAACTAAAAACTAAACGATGAAACAAAACCTAAAAAAATGCGGTGAGAAAAATACATTTAACGTTTTAGAACAAAAACAAAAATTTGTTGAAAGATTTTTTTTGCGAAGATGCAAAAAGGAATCATCGCTTTCAAGATATTTTTTGAGAAAAAAAACCTAATCGAATTTATTTTTAATAGCTGAAAAAATCGAGATGATGGAGTTTTTAAAACATAATTAAATTCTCCTGCTGAACTTATTATGACCTTGACTCTTTTTAACGATTTTTCATTTATGCAGTTACGTGGACTTGCGTGACGACAACAGTACAAATTCTACCCTGTCAGTGACAGAGATTCTTGAAGTGGTGAATACTTCAGTGGACAATGAACTAACCCCCTACTACAGTCTCATGATATGTCTCTGGGCCACTATATTCTTAGAGGTAGGGTAATATTATACAACATTGTAGTCAAGTTGGCGGCGCGGATTTTTCTTTTTTTGATTAAACGTTTTGATTTTCGAAGCTTTCCCAAAATGTAAAAACGCAACTTAGTTTTTTAAAACATCAAAAAAAGTTTATCAAACTAAAAGATCAAAGAAAATTTTTTATTAAAAAAGAAATATCTAAAAATAAAGTTTTTGAAAAAAAAATGTAACGAATGAGTTATGACTGGGGTGTATAACTCATAGAGTAATTTCGGATAGGGTACACCGTCTGCTCGTCACGCTATCTTATTTTCGGCCGGATAGATTCGTGCAACTTCTTAGTCTAATACCGATCCTAGTCTTACTCTTATACTATCTAGTCTCAGGTTGTTTAACTAGTCTCTGCTAGGCTCAATAGATCTAGGGTATACTGGTTTATTGCGGCTGCTGAAGTGCTCGGGAGAGTCCAACTAATTTCTAAGTTAAATTCAAATCTCTCTGGTGCTGAAATTACAAGTAACTTCAGCACTTACAAATAAGTGGGTTGTTAGTTAGATGGATCATGATTGGTTAATATTAAATACTTTACATTGGTAAAACATTTAATTTATCCAATCATAAAATATAGTTTAGATCAGGTTCCACCCATCCGGGTTTTACAGAGTT